GGGGGGGTTCGGCGACACCACGGTGGCAGGTGCCACGGAGCAGCAGCCCGGTTGAGGTGACATCCCGCCCCCTGGCACGCCGGGGGATGCAGCCACAGCGGGTGGCACCGGGTGACACCGTCACGCCGGGTGAGACGTGAGACCAGCCCCGCTGGGTGACACCACCAGGGTGGCACACGCCGGAGGAAAAGGCCAAGCCAACGTGCCTGTGGCCACCTGGTCCTGCTCCAGAGCATCAACCAACAACCCTACCTCACCCCAAGGCTCCTCCATCCCCAGGAACCTTCCTCCTGCCGCCGTTGCCGAGCTGAGGAGAGCCCCGCCACGCGTCCCCGTCACGGCGGGGCCCAACGGCCTGCCCGGGGATCCCAGCCGGGCTGGGTGAAACCTGTCTCCTCCGGGCGATGCCGGGGGGCCCTCGCCGAGCTGCCGAGATGCAACTTTCTGCTGCAGCGAAGCCTCTCTCTGCCTCCCTTACGTAACGGCGCTGCTGCCTGGCACGCCGCTCGCCTCCACGTCCTGCACAACTTCAGCCCCGTGGGGAATGGATTTCCACTCCTCCCGGACCATCCCCGCTCTTGATTCTCAGCTGACAGGGCTTTTCCCCCGTGGGGAATGGATTTCCACTCCTCCCGGACCATCCCCGCTCTTGATTCTCAGCTGACGGGGCTTTTCTTAACTGGGGTTATTCAGCCTGGAGAAGAGGAGGCTGAGGGGAGACCTTCTTGCTCTCTCCAACTCCCTGAAAGGAGGGTGCAGAGAGGTGGGGGTCGGTCTCTTCTCTCAAGTCACAGGCGACAGGACGAGAAGAAATGGCCTCAAGTTGCGCCAGGGGAGGTTCAGGCTGGATATTAGGAAAAATTTTTTCACTGAAAGGGTTCTCAGCCATTGGAATGGGCTGCCCAGGGAGGTGGTTGAGGCCCCATCCCTGGAGGTGTTCAAAAGACGGGTTGATGTAGTGCTGGGAGGTCTGGTTTAGTGATGGTGCTCCTTGTTTGTTGTGTGGGTGTCTATTTTTGTCAGTCAGGTTGACGGTTGGACAAGATGATCTTTAAGGTCCCTTCCAACCTAGAAGATTCTGTGATTCTTGCATCTCAAGCCGGGGGTGCTCCATGCAGTGACCCCATCCCAGCACAGGGCCACCTGCACCCCAGCTGGAAGGGTGATGGCACCCACCGGCCCGGCAGCAGGTCCCGGCCACGCAGCATCCTCCGGGAAGGGTGCTGGTGTTTGGGGACCCCCCTCTGCACAGCCCCTGCAGATTGGGGGGGTTTGGGCAGGTTTGCATCAGCGCTGCAGCTGCCGGGCTGGATCCCTGCAGGAGGAGGCTCTGCCTGAAGCACCCCCCCGCAGCCCGGGGGTCGGTAGCCCAAAGGCTCCCTGCCTGCCTGGCTCCGGGCCCCGACAAGCTGCACGTGGGCACCGGGGCTTTCATCTCTCACTGCTTTGATGGTTTCCTACTGATTTTTTTTTCCCCACTGATGTTTTTTTCCCCTTTGAGGTGTTGACAGGGGCAGTGTTTGTGCTGTGCCAGCCTTGCAGGGGTGTGAGCGATTCCAGCTTGGGCATCCCAAGGCTGTTGGGTGCCCCCCCGCCAAGTTCTGCCCCCCATCCCTGCACATTGGCTTTGTCAGTCAGCTTCTGATCAGAGCTGCTGAGCTCCTGGCTCGACTGTCAGGGCGAGAGCCACCCTGAATACAGATCATGCCAGGGCTCTGCCTGCCTTCCCGGCCACGCTCCAGCACCGTGGGGGACGTTGTGGTGGCCTCAGGGAACACCCCTGGGACCGGCTCCACGGCTGTGCCCTGCCTACTGAAGCCAGGGCTGGAGAACTCGGCGTGTCTGGAGGGATGCCAGGTGGTGGGGATGGAGGAAAGTTATCTTCAAATTCCCAGGAGGCTGCCTGCGACGTGCCACGTGGATTGCAGCTCCCGGGACGGGGCACACCACGCAACGTGCTGCAAGGGAGTAGGGTGGAGGGGTGCGGATGTCCCTCCCCCAAGCCCCATATCCCCAGCCCTGCCCAAGGTCCACAGCTGCAGGGTGAGGTCCCAGCCAAAGCTCCACCAGCTGAAGCACATCACCATCGCAATCAATAGGGAAATGCACATTCATTAACAGCCTGCAGGACCTTGGCAGGGAGGGCCGGGAAGGGCTTGGATGGCTTCCCCGCCTAATAAACCCATCCTGCTCCTTCAAGTCGATGCTTTTACAGATGAGCTCCCATGGCATCTCCCTCCCCATGACCAGTATCATCCTTGTTTCTGGGATCTCCTCCCAGACGGAGAGCTCTTGGCTCTGCAGCTCCTGCCAACCTGCATCCCCCTGTGCTGCCTGGGGCTGTGCAGACCGTGGCACATCCCGGAGGTGCACTCTGGGCACAGCACCAGCAAGGATGATCCGGGTGAGAGCCTGTATCCTTCACTCTGCTTTCGGTGCTCTGGGACGGGCTGTGACCCTCCGCACGTTCCTCAGCCTGAGCATCTGCTTGGTGTGGAGACCTCACCTGTGGAAACTCCTGATCAGTGGCTTTGAATACTGCACGTCAGTAATTCCAAGGCTCTGGGTGTGCTTCCCAGCCTGGTTTGTGTGTCTTACCCGTTGCCTTGCTTGCCCCTGTGCCCTCACTGCTTGGAGGTACCCAGGGATGGAGTTTAGGGGCAAGCAAATGTCACTCATGGCTATGAGGAGTTGGAGCATCTTCTCTTCACCCAGCTCTTTTCCCAGGAGCTGTGGAGGTGCTGGGAGCCATTTGGCTCCTGTGACCCGAGGGTGGTAGCTTCTGGTTGGCAAAATCAAACAAGCCACCTGCTGCCATCGCCACCGTGCCCTGGGTGAGCACTGGGCACTGGTGTCCCCACCAGGTGGGCTTGGGGCTCAGTTGCTGGAAGGAGAATCATTTCAGAGCATTTAGATGGAGGGGATAAAGTGATGTGCTGAGAGATAGGGCTGTTATGTGTCTGTTCCCAGCTTTGCCTCGCTGCCTTATCAGCCAGATCTCAGACATGATAAAGCAGAGATGGAGGAGAGAAACGGTGGGGAGAGCAGGAGGGGAAGATGGTCACCCTGGGGCAGTGGGACCTGCCTCTCCCTGTCACCTCCCGTTTGGATATTTGGGGAAGATGCTGTTGGGAAGGGTGTGGTGGGGGGTTTTCTCAGCGTGGGATGGTGTTGGGCTCCTGGGTGGAGAGGAGGGCTCCTCATCCATCATCCCCTCACCAGGAGTCAGTGCCACACGCAGCCTTGGGATGTGGTCCTGGCTGCACCCTGTGCACTGAGCACCCCCCGGGACCCCAAGGAAGAAACTGCCTCCCTAACACCTCTGTATTTCTCTCCCCAGAGCCTTCCTCCAGCCCTGCCTTTCAGGATGATCACCCCAGGAGCGCCGTCGGGGACCCTCCGGGCACATCCCTGCTGACCCCACCACACTGGGACCCCCTGGGCAGCCTGGCCACCCTCCTCCCCGGGTGGCTGCTGCCAATGCCGAGCTGCCAGGGGCTCAGGGGAGAGCCAGAGCTCCGCTTCCCCATGGCAGCCCTTTCCCCCCGCGCCCCGGCCCAGCTGCATGGTGTGGGTGCCCCTGAGGACCTCCAGGACTGACCGCCGGGCCCCCCTGCGCTGCCCCTCCTCCCGCTGCGCCACCATGTCTTTGGAGTGGTTGATGGATTGGAGCTGGTCCCTGGACGGCCTCCGGGATTTCATCGCCACTGGCATCCAGTCATTCCGGGATTGCGACGCCACCGCTTTGGCCGCCGTGGCCTGCCTCCTCCTCCTCTTCCTCTGGTACTGCTACCAGGTGGGGAGGGAGCAGCCCCGCGCCTCCTACCCCACCGTCAACGCCCTGATGCAGGGCGCCGAGGCCAACGGGGTGCAGAACGGCTACGTCTACTGCCACTCGCCCGAGTGCGTGCGCTGCGCCCACCACGACGGCCTCAACCAGAAACTCTACCACAACCTGCAGGAGTACGCCAAGCGCTACTCCTGGTCCGGCATGGGCAGGATCCACAAGGGCATCCGCGAGCAAGGCCGCTACCTCAACAGCAGGCCCTCCATCCAGAAGCCAGAAGTCTTCTTCTTGCCCGACTTGCCTACCATGCCCTATTTCTCCCGGGACGCTCAAAAACACGACGTGGAGTTGCTGGAACGTAACTTCCAGACCATCCTCTGCGAGTTTGAGACCCTCTACAAAGCTTTCTCAAACTGCAGCCTCCCCCAAGGATGGAAAATGAACAGCACGCCCAGCGGGGAGTGGTTCACCTTCTACTTGGTGAACCAGGGCATGTGCGTGCCCAGGAACTGCAGGAGATGCCCACGGACGTACCGCTTGCTCGGCAGCCTTCGCACCTGCATTGGGAACAATGTCTTTGGGAATGCCTGCATCTCCGTGCTCAGCCCGGGCACCGTCATCGCCGAGCACTACGGGCCCACCAACATCCGCATCCGCTGCCATCTAGGTAAGCCCCCCACCCCCCGGGGTGGAGGAGTGGTGGTGGTTGTGGTGGTGGTGGTTCATCCTGGTTGGACCACGGGTGGATGGAGAGGGCTGGAGTCACGCCTGGGTGCAGGAGCCCAGAAAAAGGCCTCTCGCACCCCGTGCTCGCTGAGTTTGGCTGCTAATTGCTGCTAATTGGAGCCAGCACCCAGCGTGAGGGAGGTTTTGGGGCTCTGCTGGCTGCAGCCTCCCTGGGAGAGGCCAGTGTTGAGTGCCCCCAGGGTGACCCACCTCCCCGAAGTCCCCAGCAGGAGCGTTTCTCCTCCTCTTCCCGCTCTCCTGGAGGCTCAGGGTCACCCTGGTGCAAGATTTTGTGCGGGGGGGCTCTGAACATCCCCCCCAACCCCAACACACTCTGCAGGGATGTGGGGCAGCCCAGGATGCTGCTCCCAGGACCGAGCTGTCTCCCAGCACCGCCACCCCCCAGGGAGCTCCCTCTCTCCTGGGAATTCGGGAACGATACAGGCAAAGATGCTGCAAATCAGGAGTGTAGAGGGGGGTCCCAGGGGTACCCCCCACCCCTGGCAGGGCGAGCTCTGGGCTGGTGGCAGGGTGCCGGGGATGGGGACATCCTGGGTGGCACAGATGGTGGGACTCTGCCGCGCTGGAAGCGGCGCAGATCGTGCCGGGGGAGGCACCGCACGGGCCCTGTGCTGGCAAACACCGCAGGCGCTTGTTCAGCCAACTCCTCTCGGGTAAACACACTCAGGCGGTGACTGGCCATTTATTTAGAAAGGGAATCAGCCTCCAGAGCTGAGCCGAGGAGTTCTTCAGGGCTGGGGAGCCGCTGGGGAGCTGGGACGTGCCCTTGTTGGTGCCAGGAGGTAGCCCAATGCCCAACCACCAGCTCTCCCCTCTCGCTGGGGAGATGCCTTCTCCTTGCAAGGGGCTGAGAGCGGTTCCTGGGAGGGGGCCAGCGTGGCGAGGTCCAGGTTGGCTCAGACAAATGCTCCCAACCCCAGGAGCATGGAGCTGGGGCCAGCCCTCCAGCTGGAGCACGCACCCCCCCGGGGAGATGAGTGATGCGGGTCATTCCCTTGCCCTTCCACGCTTTCCAGCTCCATCTGCTCTCCAGCAGGACACAGCACCGTGCCTGGGGTGTGCTGATGGGCTGCTCGTGCCCTCACCAACATCCCCACCGTGGTGCTGGGGGCTCTGCTCTCGCTCTACGTCACGTTTAAGAGACAACCAGCCCTTTCAGGGCTCTGAACAGCCACAACAGCTGTCAGCGTAGCCAAATCTCTCTCTAGGATTTACCCCAACCCCATTACTGCTCGGGGCCAAGCACAGGCACCGGCTCTGCCCCTCCAAGGGACTGGATGGATGTGTGTGTGATGGAAAGGCTGTGTCCCTCTGGCTGCCTCCTCCCCGCCTCCCCCCTGGCTGCTCAGCTCCCTCCTCCCCAGCTGGAGCATCTGCAGGGAAATGGCTTCGGGTTTTGCAGGCTTGGACACCTCCCTTGGAAAAACCCATGGCCCCAGCTCCCCTGGGCATCCAGGAGCCCCTGCTTGGGTTTTGACATCTCTGCGAGGTCCCTTCCTGCTCGTTTGCTGCATCGTTAGCACTCACCAGCCACGTGAGCCCTGACCCCTTTCTCCACCACGGCTGCATCCTCGGGGCAGGTTGACTCTGCACCAGAGCCATTTCTGGTGGGGGGGGTGGCAGTCCCCATGTAGGGGGTGACGGGATCAGCCCTCGTCGAGCTGGCCTGACTCGCGCGAGTATTTTAGGAAAAGACACGTTTTATTTCCAGGATTGTCCTTCAGATGGCCTTCACAGAGCCTCTTCCCTTAGCAGAGGGTTTTGCGACCCTCCCCTGGATTTCTGGCCCCACGGCTGCCCGGTGGGGGCCTGGCAGCATCTCAGGTGGGGGACTGAGGGACAAGGTTGAGTGGGGACCTCGTGGGGGAGCGGGGAACGGAGCCCATTGAGTCCAGGAGCAGCATTTCCCCCTACCCCAGCCCTGGGGTGGGCAGGGTAATCACTGCAGAGCTGGGGGAAGGAGAAGGCAGGCTCTGCCTTGGGTCTTGGAGCTAGAAAATGTAGCAGGAAACTCTTTGTGGGCTTTGGTGGCTGTTCCAGCTGTGGAAGAGAGTGCCCACGATGCTGAGCTCGTGGGGGGGGTGCCCTACAGCAGCTGGGGATGAGAGGAGCAGGGGCTGAGCTGCCCCAGGCTTGGGGTTCAGCTTGTAAATCATAGAATGGTTTGAGTTGGAAGGGACCTTAAAGATCCTCCAGTTCCAACCCCCTGCCCCCTGTGGTGCCAGCTCTGTGCGTGGTTTGAACCCTGGACTTTGCCATGCACCGAGTTCAGTGCAGCCTCTGCTGCTGCTGCAGCTCCCCGGGGGGAAGCAGCCCCTCCACAGCAGCGTGGAGCTCACTTGACCACATTTCAGGGCTTCTCCCTTGTGCCAGGGAGCACGGCATCGCCTTCACCCTCCCTTCTCCTCTCTCTTTGTTCCTTGAAGGTCTGAAGACGCCCAGCAACTGCGAGCTGGTGGTGGGGGGCGAGCCCCAGTGCTGGGCTGAGGGGCGCTGCCTGCTCTTCGACGACTCCTTCCTGCACACGGCGTTTCATGAAGGTGAGTGTGACACTCGGCGGGTCCTCGCAGCCTCCCCCTTCTCCAACAGCCCCATCTTCTCCAGTAATGGAGAAACCTTTTTGCTGCAGAGCCCTAAACCCAATAAGCTGAGCCCCTGACCCAAACCAGCAGCAGTGGGAGAGCAGCCACTGGCCACCCCTCCTGAGCTGGGGCTGGGAGAGGGAGCCTGAAGCATGTGAGAGCCCTGCAGAACTTGGCAGGGAAGGAGAGGTGATGCTGGCATTGTCTTGGGGACCAATTTTCTCCCATCACCCCATGGCAGGATGCCCGTGGCCCCATGGCTGGCTGGATGGGGCTTTGAGGGAAGTGTCCCTGCCCATGGCAGGGGAGTTGGAGCTCATTAATCTTTAAGGTCCCTTCCAACCCAAAGCATTCAATGATTCTATGCCCATCATCCCATGGCCAGATGCCCATCACCCCATGGCAGGATGCCCATGGAGGCCAGGCTCAGCCCAGGGGTGGGATGGAGAAGGAAGCAGAGACACTCAGAAGGTGTGGGGGACTCCTGGGCTGTCCCACCAGCATGAGGACACCAAGGCACCCAGCCTTCCCTTGTCCTCCAGAGCTTTGCAGGGTGGCATGGGCTCCGGTGCTGACATCCTCAGCATCATCTCTCCCTCGCTGCTGGCTGTGGTGGCCCTGTGACAGGGCAGCAGCTTGGTGGTGACCAGCCAGTGGCACCTCCATCTCCTGTGCAGGGAGAAAAGCTTCACCCCGGCCTGTTTTGCTGCCCCTTCTCCATCATGGAGGGAGGCTGTTCCGCCTCAGCTCTCCCGGATTAACCTGATACATCAAAGTGTCTGGCAGAGCTGTTTTATGCAGGGGAGCAGGCGAAGGGAGTGGGAGAACAAAAGCTGTTGCTCCCACATCAACCCTGCTGTGGAGCTGGGAAGGCTGGAATGTCGCAGCGGCAGCTCCGAGACACAGCTCAAAGGAGGGTGAGCTCAGCGTGGCCCCCGCTGCCCTGCGAAGAGAAACCTCGGGGTCTGATGGCCCCAAGCATCCCCGGAGCTCCAGCAGGGAAGACCATGCCCTGCACCAGTTGCTGGAGGCACTGGGCTCCCAGTAAGAGGCAGTTTAGGTGTTTCCTGGGGGTCGCACTGGGCAGACACCTGGGATGGAGCCCATCACCCCTGTGCCAGGGCGAGCACTGGCCTCTCCTGCTGGAGAGTGGTGCCCAGGGACAGGACAAGAGGTAACGGGCACAAACTCGAACATAAGAAGTTCCATCTAAAGATGAGGAGGAACTTCTTCACTTTGAGGGTGGCAGAGCCCTGGAAGAGGCTGCCCAGGGAGGTGGTGGAGTCTCAATCTCTGGAGACATCCAATACCCACCTGGACATGTTGCTGTGGGCTGGACTAGATGATCTCCAGAGGTCCCTTATAGCCCCGTATCATCTTATGATTCCATGAGCCTCATCCCATTGCTCACATCCCACCCAGGTCCCCCGGAGGAGGGTCCCCGCGTGGTCTTCATGGTGGACCTGTGGCACCCCAACGTGGCCGCTGCCGAGCGCCAAGCCCTCGACTTCATCTTCGCCCCGGGCCGATGACGGCGCTGCCCGGCGGGGTGGGGGTTGGAGGGCGGCTGAGCTCCGCCGCGGCTCCGGCGCCGCACTGGAGGCTTCCTCCCAGCACACGGCCTCCCGGGGGCTCTTGTAAATGGAAACTGCGACCTGTATCGACGCCCATCTCTTTCCTCCCATCGTCGGAAATTATTTTCCCCCCTGTCCCGGTTTGAGGTAAAAGAGGGGGGATCCGTTTTCCAGCAGGGCAGCGCCTCGCCTTCCCTCCGTGGTTACCCCCGGCGCCGCCCTCCTACATGTCCTGTTGCTACTGTGTTTTTTGCCGTGTTCAGAAGTAGAGTAACGAAACCAAGGGTGTTTGTTTGAATGTAATAATGTAAAACCTCTCATGGCCATCAAAAGAACCACATACACACACACACATGCACAACCAAAACAGCAAACCAGCCTGCCCCTGGCCCCGCTGCGGTCCCTGGATGGATGGATGGATGGATGGACCCAGGGGCTGCTCAGGCTGGGGCAGATGGGGCAGGGCAGTGTTCTGCCTGCAGAGAGCTCTTGCACCCCCAGCCCAGGGGCTCCTGCTGCCTCCCTCGCATGCCAGCAGGGCCCTGGCACGTGGCTCTTGCCTCAAGAGACCTTTTTGCCACCCGGGCACGATGCTGGCTGCCCTCGTAGCCACCGGTCCCCCCTAGCCCCAGCAAGCCCAGAAGGAGCCCCCGACATCCACCCTGTCGAAGGGACAGAACGCATGGAGCCCCGCTCTTTAATCTGGCCAAGGGTGTTATTAATTGCCTAAAACCCCTTCTCGCTTTATCTGCAACCTTGGGAGCCCCCCCCAGGGGCAGGGACACTCTTTGGGAGCCCCCCCCAGGGCTCTTACTTGCCCGTGTAGACAAAAGCCAGGGATGAAAGAAGGTCACTCTTCCTTCTGCTGCTCCATCTTCTCCTTTCCTGGGGCCAGAGACAGCTCGTGCCTTCCTGGCAGCCAAGGAAAGGTTTCCAAAGGCAGGGGGTGTTTAATTCCACAGCCCAATTCTCCACCCCCGCCAGGGAATCCTGCCCACCCACCAACCAACACGCTTTTCCTGAGGTCACCCCAGCACCCAGGGTTTGTTCGGGGGGGGGTGGGGGTGGTGGTGTTTTGGGGTCCAGAGCTGCCGTAGGGTTCATACCACGCTAGAGGTGAAGCACGACACGTCACAGATGCTCCCCCCTGTCCTCGTGCCTCCAGTTGGGACACAGTTGCCCCGGTGGCCTCAGCAGGGCTTTGGGGACCACTCACCTCCACACCCCACCCGGGAGGGAAGGCAGCCCCCGCTCCCCTACGAGTTCTTTACAGGTTTGTTTTGGGTTTGTTTTTTTTTTTCAACGATCAGATTGCAAGATAAGGCCGAGATTTCAAATACATCCGAGATATTTTTTACACCTGTCTTGTTACAGAATTATCCGAAAAAGTGCATGATTTCTACACGCATTGACTACCTGGAGGCAGAGCCTGAGGGAACAGGCTGGCTTTGGTAACTGTCCTACGGTTTGGTAACATTCATACAGTGGATAAGCAAAGATTATCAATAAACAGTTGTGCTGAAAACAGAAAGGACTCTGCCTGCTGCCTTAATTACTCCAGGGCCAAGGAAAACACTGAGGGGTCGGGTGCTGCTCGCCCCAGGTGGCTGATTTGGGGAGAAAAATGCTGGAAAAGCAGCTCCAGGGTGGGATGGTGATATGACAAGCAAGGATATTGCTTTAAAATACTCAGGACTTGTGTCCTGCCCAGTTACAGCCTCCCTGCCCAGTGTTTCACCCGCAGCCAAGGAGGGGCAGGGAGTATCTTTGGATCTCCCAGACCCCTGAGGTCCAAACACTGCAGAGCCTGCAGGTCACTGACTGTCACCAACAAGAGAAAAAGCCACATTCTTGCTTGTCCCCCAGCTGGGAACACTCGCTGGGCTCCACAGCAGGGCCACCAGCCTGGCCCAGAGCCTTCAAAGACACGGTGGCTTCCAGCTGCCTGCTCTGACGCACCAAAGGCAGCTCCGTGGGGAGCAGCTCTGGGGCTGGGGTGGAGGGACTGCTGGGTTCTCACTGAATTCCTGCCCCAAAACCAGTGCCAGGCACCACCTCGAGCACACAACCAGTTTGGCAACACCAAGAATCCCTCCACATGAGGCCTCTGGCCCTCGTTAGCATCACTCTCACCCACTTGCAGGGCAGCAGCTGCTCCTCATCCTCTTACCCTTGAAACGGCCGCTTTTTAAGCATCCTCTCTCCAGCACAACCATTAAAGTCAAGGGCCTGGAGCTCTTCGCTGCACGACACCGAGACGACCCTTCTCTGTACCGATGGAAGGACAGAAATAGGCCCTGGTGGCCAGATGCAGTTCAAGAAGGCAGAGGGAAGGAAGCAGCCCCAGCTGTTCCCCTGCCGACAGACGGCACGGCAGATTGTCGCCGAAGCTTCCTGCCGACAGCAGGCAGAAAGCAGCGATTCCCTGCTTTGCTGCTCTGCCAAAACTCCCTCCTGTCCCTCTCAGGCTTTTCCTTCAAACTTCTTCGTGTTTCAGACAAACGCTTCCCCAAAACACCCAGGCAGGAGGCAGCGGGATCTCCCCGGGAAGGGGGGGAGAGGAGCAGTCTGGAGCTGCCTGGCAGCCCTGTGCGCTGTCTGCCTGCTCCTCCTGGCAGCCCCAGCCTTCCTCACCCCCAAAGAGAACCTTCTCAGAACTGGGGGAAGCAGTGCCTTACCCTCAGACCCCTTCATCACGGGCATCACCGAGACAGGAGGTCTCCTGGCTGGATGGCTGTAGCTCAGGCTTTCCAACGAGGCTTCACATCTACACTGCTGTTAGTCAGTTCCCCTCCTGCAGTCCCCACAAGGACATGAGGAGGAAAAAGCAGCACCACAAGGCTCTCCTGCTGCTCCAACACCTCCTCGGCTGCCAGAGCTGGAAGCCAGATGGCAACCCATGGCCAGGCACCCCCTGAGCGAGCAGCTGGCTCCTCCTCTGGAGGCCACCGAATTTCCCAGCTGAGGAGCCCCGCCACGGCAGAGCTGCCTTGGGAACTCCTCCTCTGGAGGCCACCGAATTTCCCAGCCATGGCAGAGCTGCCTTGGGAAGCATCTATCCTTAGAGCAGAACAAGAAGCTGTGATGGTGGTGACTTTACTGTGCCCACTGACACAATTCTGCTCACCATTTCACAACAAAGCAAATAACACATCTACTTTTAGCCATCTCCTCAGACCCTGACAAGCAGGAGCGACCGGAGCGACAGGCGCTGCCCCTTCAACCCCCCCATGTGAGAACTCGCCCTCGGCACGGAGCTCACTGGGAGAAACGGGTCACCCAGCCCCAAACCCTCCCACCAGAACCACAAACACAACGACCAAACAGCAAGTTGGACTCTGGCCGCTGACACACGGCGCTTGGATGAGCCTTGGAGGCTCTTTTATTTTCACAGTGAGGGGTGGGTGTGTGCCAGCAGCAGCTCCGGGACATAAAGCACGGTCAGATGCAGGGATGCATCACCCAGGTCCAAGCAACCACCACCACCACCCCCAGAGAGGGGACACCCCCTCCATCCAAGCAAAAAGAGCTGCCAAGGAGCTACAGAGCCTCTTTGGTCCCGTTAGTTTCAGAGCCTCCCACTTGCTTTCTCTGTCAACAGAGCACAGACAAATCGGGCAGCGAGAGCAAGGAGGTGACACAAGGTCCTCCAACAGGAGGGAGGAGAGGAGGCAGAGGAGCAGGCACTTGTGAAGGAACAAGGATGTCCCAGATTCAGCAACAACATAAAACCCTCCTGACCATGCCTGGAAGAGGATTATGAGTTTTTGCAGCATTTGTTCTGTTCCAGTTAGTGTGAGAAGGTGCAGGCTCTGTTCATCAAAGTAATGCATTACATCATGGCAGGGGATTGGTTCTATAGATTAAGAGGTATAAATAAAGCCTGAGTCTGACCAGGGCAAGTGAAGGCACAGGATTCCAGGCAGACACAGTGTCTGACTGACATCTCTGTGTAGCTTAGAGCAAGAAGAGGTTTTTACTTTAGGACAAGGCACTCCAGGAGTCTCTGTGGCGGCAGAGCTCCACAAACACTCCTAGAGTCAAGGTAAACCAAGCATCCCAACACTGCTGCTTTCTACCTTCAGTCTTTGGTAAGTGCTAACATCACCAACACCCTGCACGAGCACAAAATACGCTGCAGGAACAGGGTGAAAAGAGTGGCCCTTCCTCAGGGCAAGGCAAGCTGGAGCCTCCATGGACATAGCACGGAGTCTCGTGCCTCCTAGGGAATAAAGGGCTTTGAGATTTTTACTTATTGGAGGTGAAAGGGCTGAGAGACCTTGCCTCAGTTCAAAGCAGGTTCACCCCGTGCTTCAGCAGCTTCTGCTTGGCCTTGCTTGGCAAACTGAAGGCGCTGTCGTGAGGGTTGGGAACACCCGAGTTGCGGAGAGGAGCACCCAGCTGCTGGAAGTAGGTTTCCTGGACGGGGTTCCGGCAGGCGTAGACGGCCGTGGAGGCATTCCTGGCAGGGCAGGAGAGAAGGCAGTGGTCAGGATTTACAGCTTTGAGCAAGATTCCCTTCAGCTCACCAGGCTGGGTGTTGGGGACGCTCGTGGTACTGGCCTCCCAGCTCAACAGAGGGGCTTTTAGGTCTCTCTCAGCAAAGCAATGGAGCACAGAGTTAAATGGGCACCAAAAGCCTACAGTGCATTGCCAGAAGGCCACAGGGAACCTGATCCTCCTTCTCAAGGGTCCTGGCATCCTAAAAGAGAGAGCATTGTATGCCTCATCCTCAGGGACCTGCTGAGCAGCAGTAACACCCCTTCATGTGGCCATCCTCTGAGTATTTCCCTTGCAGGCAGACCAGACCAGATCAGACCAGACCAAACCAGACCATCAAGAGCCAGTAGCTGAACCACTCCTCGTGTCTCACACCCCTTCTTTCCTGGAGGAACCCATCTCACTGCTGCTGCCCGTAAGCAAATCCCAGCCCAGCACCCTCACAGCAGGGACCACACGATGTTCCTTAACCACACGTGTGAGGAAGCTCAGAAAATAGTCAGATACTGCAACCACGAAAGCTCAAGTCGCTGATTAAAAGCCACCACTCGGTATTTACCTGCAAGAGGGCTGGCAGGGAGCAACGCAGAGGGCTCTGCATTCCTCCCCGACGGAGGGAAGCAGCAACTGATATGTTTGCTGACACCCTCCTGTGACAACTCTCCATAAAAGAAAGCAGTTTTAGTCATCGTGTTACTCAGCCCGATTCACACATGGAGTCGCTTTTTCGGGGGCACCGGAGAAGACGCCAGCTGAGCCGGTGTAGGATTGAAGGAGCCAGTCAAATGAATGCTAAAGGAGGAATTCTCCAGCAGGGAAGTGTATGATTCACTTTCCTTTGGCAAGCTGTGTCGGAGGAGCGAAACGGGAGTAATTCCCAGAAGCATCTTGATTTCATCGTGTGTTTCGGACAAACAAGAGAGAGGTGAATCTCTGGGTAATCACAACGTAACCATCCTCCTCAAGATCAGCCCCAGGAAGGAGCAGCACGGGACCAGCTCTGGCTGCTGGGAACAGCCTGGAAGGGCTCTGGCTGTGATAAGACCATCTCTGCCTGGCGCCTTACAATCCAGTTTTGCCACGCGCATTACAGCGTGTTTCCAACCCAACAAGCCATGCAAGAAAACAAAATCTAGGTTGCCAATTCTGGGCGCCTTTGGCTCCCAGCCGAGACACAAATTTATTAGGAACAGCTATATTTAAAACTGCGTCTTAGAACCTTATGGTGCCAGGAACTGGCAATATTCTAGGGCTGTATCTTAATCCAAAATCGTGGCACGACTCAGCTGTGCCTCCAGTTCACGTGTCCTGGTGGCATTCTGGCCTCTCAACACCAAAACAGGCAGAATATTCTGCAGCCCACATCTAAAGAGCAAACTTCTGGGAACGAGGTGACACGACTGACCCTTGGCAAAGGTATTGGTGTGATTACAGTGACCACCAAACCTCAGCAAGCCTTAGAATCATAGAGTCATAGAGTTGTCCAGGCCGGAAGGGACCTCCAAATGTCATCTAGTCCGACCTCCCCGCAGTCAGCAGGGACACCCCCAACTAGACCAGGTTGCCCAGGGCCTCGTCGAGCCTCTCCTTGAATATCTCCAGGGATGGGGCCTCAACCACCTCCCTGGGCAACCTGTTCCAGTGCTCCACCACCCTCACAGTGAAGAACCCTCTCCTAATCTCCAGTCTAAATCTGTTCCCCTCCAGCTTGAAGCCATTTCTCCTTGTCCTGTCACTGCAGGCCTTTCTAAACAGGTTCTCCCCAGCCTTCCTGCAGGCTTCCTAAAAGAGGTTCCTAAAAGAGGTTCCTCTCTCCTGCCTATTCCGTGTGCTGCACAGCACACCTGGAATTGGAAGAGGAGGGTGTTGGAAGCCCACCTTACCTGATTATCACCTCTGAAGCTGTTGGAAGCTGGCTGAAGTCGGAGTGGATCAGCGTGGCAGCTCTCAGGAAGTGCCGCTCCAGAGGGCCCGGTGTGTGGGGCAGGTTGGCTGCAGAACAGGAGGAAAAGGTGTGGGTTAAAAGCCACTCTGAAGAAGAAAAAAACCCGTGGAGGTCTCCCACAGACCCTGGATACGTACAGATCAGAGACTGGGTGATACCCTAAGCCCCAGTGTGACCTCGATGGAATAAATCAGCAGTTTGCAGCGTGTTCAGCCACACACAAACAACCCTGGTGTACCTTTCCCTGCACGGACACCCGTCAGAGGGGTGAGAAGAAGGCCTGAGATCTGGGTTACTCGGAATCACTGGTGTTTCTCTCTTTCCCTAAAGCACTTCTTCTCAGCTGGAGGGAGCTGGGACACTGCCAGAAAAAGGGAAACAGCAGAAGGAACTGGAGCAATAGGTGCACCTGTCACTGCAGGCCTTTCTAATCCACCCATCGATCCAGGGCAGCAGCCTCCAAACTGGTGGCTACTGCCTGTTCCCAGTTTTGGCTTCTTGTGGCCAGAAATGACTGACAAATACTTTGTTGTAGGGATCAGTGATGTTAGGGGGAGGGAGGGAAGGTCTGAAAAGGATGTTGAGCCCTGTCCCACAGGGCCTTCTGTGTGTCAATGGTCCACCCATCGATCCAGGGCAGCAGCCTCCAAACTGGTGGCTACTGCCTGTTCCCAGTTTTGGCTTCTTGTGGCCAGAAATGACTGACAAATACTTTGTTGTAGGGATCAGTGATGTTAGGGGGAGGGAGGGAAGGTCTGAAAAGGATGTTGAGCCCTGTCCTCAGACCCAGCCCTCAGCAGAACCCCAAGCAACACCCTCCTGAGCCAGGCGCCGGTGGCAGCCGCTCCATCTCCCAGAGGCCTCTGGCTCTCATCCAGCCCGAGCGATCAACAAGCCTTCAGCAGATTATAAACTTACAAAAGACAAAGCTTCCTCAACAGGGCCTTGTATCCAGGCTATTTTATATGAGTTATAGCCAGCCAACGTTCCTAAGAAGTCATCTGAAGGGTGAGAAAAGGTCACCATAAACCCTACTCTCTTCCTTCTTCCCACCTCCAAAGTGGCTGCGGGTCCAGAAGATGAAGAACTTACCCGTGAGCACATTCTGAACACAATCATAGTGAGTGAACCTGTAGGTTATCTTGGTTGAGGACGCGGAGTCTTTGGGCAGTGTCTCTCTCAGATGGACCTCGAGGCCGTTCAGAGAAGCCAGGCTGCTGTGGTACTGCAGGAAGGGCGGAAAAAAAGGCAAGTGTTAGAGTAAAAGCCCTGCCAAGGAGGTACCAGAGGGTCCTGGAGTGACTGATGTTGGTGACAAAGAGACTGGACCCCAGGAATGACTGGGAAACCTGGGCACAGGGGAAAGCAGAGGAGTCTCACAGCTTACAAATCAGCAAGATGGAGACTCAGAGAAGGGCACTCTAACCTGAAAATAAGCCATTAAACCACCTGACGCTATTAATTACAGCAAAATGCAAGACTCCATTAATTTACCATCAAACATCACTCTCCAGGGCTCATTCTCACATCCTGGCCATGACTTTGGGCTGCAGCAAGGAATATTCCTTCTCTTACCAGCCTTTACGCCACCAGACGTGCCCGCACGACACAGGATGCAAACTTTAAACACCTGGGCAGGATTTACTTGCCTGCAGTGTCTCCTGCACCCAGCCTCCGTGCTGAGCTCCTGGCCAGCTGCAGGCTGGGCTGTCAGCAGAAGGAAAAACCAGAAAATCCAAGGAAACAGCCTCACCCATGGGATAACGACAGGCCTGGCCAGGAGCAATGGATTCACACAATGTAGTAATGTGAAAACCAACCTATTTTCCCCACTGGGCTCTCAGTAGCCCAGATGCCCTGGCCGTGCCGAGGCAGGGCTGAGGAGCCCTCTAGAAGATTAATTCCATAATCCTCCAGCCTGCCCCTGGGCTTTCCTCCACCACGGAGAGGATCAAGCTTCCCCTCAGCAGGACGGCAGCGCCTGGCCTGCCCTTGACCCCGCTGGTCAGGGAATGGATTTTCTTTTCTGTGGGGTGAAACGAAGGGCTAAGAGCTAAAGCCAGGCAGGAAGGGAGCCTGAAAGCCTCCAAAGCCTCCTGCTCTGCCAGGAAAGGCTGTATTGGAAACCGCCCTCCCAGAGGGATGATCGGTGCTGCCGGCTGCTCTCGGCTGCACAAGTAGCATATTTTACCCTTCTTTGGTGTCATTCAGGGGCCTCAAAGCATTCGACAAACGTTAATTATAACTAAGCTTTGACATCCCCAAGAGCCAAGGGTCATTTTTAATCTGGAGATAAACAAAGGAACAGACAAGCTGAGGTTACGTCTCAAATCCACCATGATGCCAGCGGCAGAGCCCGGGCTCTACCTCCTCCAACAATCCTCCTCCTCCTCCTCCTGGGATGACAGGACACGTGGAGCATCCCTTCCAAGAGATAACAAACACCTGCACCCAGAGGAAGGGTGTAGTCAGAAGAATCCAATCACAGCCAAAAACCCAAGCTGAATGAAAGCACAGTTTGGCCAAGATGAGATCCAAAGCAGCACGTGAGATGGAAGCAGCACCTTTGGGAAAAGGAGGACCCAAATGGCACAGGGCTTTGGCAACCCTGGGGCAATGCATAAAGGAAAAATCCACTGAAAGGCGGTGCACCGGTGTCAGGGAGTTGATTTTCACAGCAGCACAGAATGTGATTTTGAGACTTAACGAACTGAATGACAAATTAAGCCAGGAGGAGGGGTCTGCTGCCAGCCTTGCCCAGGCTTTTGACGGGAGGAGGATGTGTGATGTGTCACTAGCAGAGCTAAACCTTCCCCTAATGAGGCATTTCACGCCCCAGCCATGTCCTTCAGACGCTCCTTCTCGTGGCAGGTCGGACATGAAGCAGAGCAGAGGCTGGTTTCTAGCCATGAGCACCCCCGAGCACAGCAGAGCTGCCACTGGAGGAAACCCAGAGAAGCTGAGGGTCCCCATGCCATGAGGACAACCTTCAGCTCCTTGAGAGCATCGGTTCCTACCTGCCCACATCCCCTTCTCTCCCTGCAACACTGTAGAGAGGAAGCCATTGTGGAGCTGCCCGTTTGAAAGGAGCAGAAAGGGGACAGAGCAATGGCTGCAAAGGTCCAAGGATGCACCTCCTGCCCTCTGTGGATCTCCCAGCCATCCCTTCCTGGCCCCAGCCCCAGCTCCCGAGCCCCAGAGCTCAGGAATCAAAGGAGTAACCTTCAGGCTTTGCTAACGCTGGGAGCCAGCATCAGTCTGAGCTTCCCTCCGCCTTCCAGCCTGACGGGGGAAAAGAAATTAGGTTGTTCCTATGGCAACTGGAATATCAAACAGGCCTCTGCAGCTTTGACTCAGCTCCCTGGTAGGGAAGCAAGGGGCCAGGACGGCAGCTCTGCAGACTAATGCTTCAGCAGGAGACGCTGGGGGCCGGCACGTCCTTCCCCCGCAGCCCCATTAGCTGCACCCATTAGCTGCCGCCTGGCAGGGAAGCCTCAGCTCCAAAGCCAACCCCACAGCAATTTGGGATTGCTCTGGTGCAGCACCCTTTTGCAGCACCCACATGGCACCCTTCCCTCCGGCCCCTGCAGAGCAGCACCGCAGAGAGCAGGCTGGGGACTCAGATTTTCCCCTAGAAAGGAAAGGAGTCGGGGGACTTGCTGCCAGCCACGTCTCTCTGGTGCTTCCAGAGAAGCTGTGACACACAAAAGGGGAGGTTAAACAGAGAACAAACCCTGCTTTCCAAAAAAGCACTACAAAACTGACGGGGTTTCCTCCCAACAAAGCCCAAATCCAGCACAGCCCCTTGGCAGGCAGCGGGGCTGTCTGACGGTCACACCTACACGTTCTGCTCCGGCGCTGGCACCGACAGACAACAACGGGCAACAGGAGTCTCCTGTGAGACAACACTCTCACCTCTCGGGCTGCCTGACGTTCGCCAACAACCTCCTACATAGCGTCGGTTGCGGTGAGGAACCCTAAGACAAATGGCTGTGCCTGGCACAACGCGGAGCAGGTGAGGAAAGAGAAGGGAAGTGTGAGCCAAGGCTCGCTCTTCTTCAGTCAGAGCCCCTGTCACCTGCCACCAGACAAGCAGCAGGGAGTGTATCTGCAGGTGTGGAAATGCTTTCCCACTTACCACATCTTCCACGGAGCTCTGGTCCTCTCGGAGGTCATCTTCAGCCAACAGGGAGAGCACGAGCCCCTTAATACAGTGAACGTACAAGCTCATTTTAACCAGTTTGTCTGACTCTGCACCAGTCTGGGCTCCCAGAGCGTCCATTTGAGGCATCCAGCCACTCTCCCCGCTCCCTGGACTCTGCATGTTCTCTGCTGGGTCACTGGGCAGGCTCTTCTGAACTTCTACAGCTGGTTGCTGCCTCCTGCTTTGGAGCTCTGATGGTATAGCAGCGGCTGGACAATCCAAACCCTGCACTTTGCCACCATCCACACCACCGCCTCCTCCAGAGATGCTATTTTGGCTCAGAGTCCCTTGCTCTTGTTCATTCGACTTCCTTCTGCTCAACTCTTGGGCAGGAGAGCAAACAGCTGGACTGCCACTGGCTGCAGAATAACTTTGGAAGCTACGATGCTCAACATCAGAGTCCTCAAGGGATTTTTCCACATTTTGACCCTCCTGCTCCCGGGCGTAAGGGTTTGGGAAGGAAAAGCCTTCCAGATACGGACCTGCAGTCCGAGTGTATTCAACGGTATGGGGTGTGGAAGGGTTTGGCAGCTGCTTCGTGTCTCTCTCTGACGGGAAGGATGTTTTGCTACCGAGCTCTGAGCTTTTGCTGTCTGGTGTGCTCAGTCTTGCAGCTGGAGAATTCTTTGTACTGGTTTCCATTTCAGGGAAGCCCTTGAAAGGGCCACCCGATTGCGCAGCATCTTCTGGTGCAGCCGTGCCTGAAGCTTGCTCAGGGGACTCCTGCACAGAGCTCCTGCTCAGGTCTTGCTTTTCATGATTTCCTGTTGATTCTGAAACTGCCTGGGAGCAGAGAGCATTCTTCTCTCCTCCCGGGCTTGCCGGGGACACGGACGACCTAGCAGGAGGTGACAAATTGATTAAATTACTGAGTAGGATCTGTTAGGAGTTATTACATACCTAATAACACCACCACCTACCTACTCATCCACTCCACTGGAAACTCTCGGAGCACTGAGACTTCATCTTCTGTTAGGAATACGGGGATGATACGGACACCCTGTGGCAAGGGAGAATCTGCAGGAGTAATGCAAGTTTAAGGATTAAATTAACATCTCCCAGAAGCCAGAATCCATCAGCCTGAAGGAGAAAGCATGCTATTATCCTGTACCCTGGGTCACTACACACCGGCCATGTCTGACCAGGCAGCATTTTCCCATCCTCCTCATACACTTCATTCCTGACAGAGTTAAATTTTCCCTTAGTTTGTGTTTCTCCTTTTTTTTTTTTTTTTTCCTAACCGTCCTGGCAGAATATCTACAAACTGATGCTCAAAAGCGATGACTGAAGGTTTGGACTGAAAGCATCAGCCATCTGTTTTCAGGGCTCCGACAGTGGCCAAGTAAGCACATGGGTAACTGGAATTAAAGCAGGCACGTTGGGAATCCACAGAACACACAATTCAACCCAAAAGAGCAAACTCCTTTGCTCAGCCAAAGGAAGGAACTAGTTCTCATTACACAACACCCACTGGCACATGCTGACTAGTGGCAGCAGCACCCTCAGGGATATTCTCCTGCATCCAGTAAGAGCTTCGCCGTGAATCCCAGAGAAGCAGCTCCTGCTCCCACTGCAGAGAATGCAAGCCCAGAAGGTTGCCCATATGTGGCTGCTGGGCACTGGGCAACCAGTACTCTGCAGCTGGATGCTCACCAGGCTCCTGCTGCTCCTCACCTCCAGGCTCCCTCTGAAAGAAAAGCCAAGAATCAGCTCTGGGGCATGACTTGACACTCGCCATCAGTGCCACCTCTTCCAGCCTCCTCTGCCTCCCTGTGACTTCAGCAGACCCCAGAGCAGCCCCTTCGGCCAGTGCTGGCACTGGTTTGGTCCTTAGGTAGCCCTCAAAGTCAAGGGGACTTCCCAAGAACCAAAACACACCTGAAAGCAAGGACAAACACCCCAATTTGTCATTATTGCCTGTTTAGGGCAAAAAAGCTTGGTTTCCTCAGCCACAGGAAGGGCAGGGGCCTTCTTCAAATGCAGATCTTGATGGTTTTTGTAGAAGATCTTGAACCATGTAAATAATTACCTTTGACAAGCTTTAATGCAAACAAAAATTGATCTGTTTGTCACTTTCAGACATTCACTGTGTGTATATTTAGCACTAAATATATAATTTGGGTAAAAAGCTAATTGAAACATCACATAGATGAGAACTCATTAATTTAATAACAGAGATAGAAAAAAAAAAAGCAAATTTAGTGCAGAAGTCTTCAAACCTCACTCAATAATAACTAAAATTGATCTGTTTGTCACTTTCAGACATTCACTGTGTGTATATTTAGCACTAAATATATAATTTGGGTAAAAAGCTAATTGAAACATCACATAGATGAGAACTCATTAATTCAGTAACAAAGATTGAAAAAAAAAAGGCAAATTTAGTCTTCAAACCTCACTCAATAATAATAAAGAAAAGCTTTTAGCATCAGCATTGATACTTGTCCTTCCCAGTAATGTCACATGTGAGATTTATGTGACAAGAGCTCCATAAAAGTGGGGTATCCGCGTGCAGGGAACATGTTCAGCAACATACCTGGCCTGGAGACTCATCGCCTTGGAGGAGAACTTTGGCAGTGAGAGGAGGTGGCAGCTGGGTGCTCACAATCCTGAAAGGACACAGGAAAGTCAGCCACGAGCAGAGTGTCCCTCCCTGAAGCTGGGTCACAGCCTCCTGTCACTCAGAGCATGGGGACGGGCAGAGCCAGCCGTAGTTTATCGCACTGGACTTCTACTCTGAGTAAAAGCAAAGGTGCTGCAGGGTCCTGTGTCACACCTGGGGGAGTCTCTAAGGCTCCCCTGGTCTCTCCCAGTCCCCCCAGATGCTCTGCAAGGGCTGAAGGGCCAGCTCAGCCACGGGCTGGAGCTAACACATCACCACACAAGAGAGACACAAGCTGAGTCACCACCAGGACTCTCGTTTTCTTCTTTTCTTTGGGTCAGTTCCACTCTAACCTCAAAAAAAACCCCACCTGCTGGCGTTTACTTTGGGCCAACAAAGTGTGTCCAGAGAGAGCTCTTGCTCTGCTCTGGGATCACAGCCCCGGGAAGGGGCAGATTTAACCCTTTGGTGAATGCCTGGTTACTTACAAGCCTTTGTAGAGAATGCAGCCTGCCAAGACGTGAGGAGAGCGCTGGCAAGTCTGCAAGATGAGAGCTGCTTTCAGTAAAAGCAGAGGGTCCACCTAGACGGGGAGAACCACAAGAATTTAAAGCAGAAAATCCCAGGAAATGCTCGAAGCAGCAAATAAACACAAAGCCATAGGTACGAAGACCACCCTAGGGCCAGGCACTGCAGAGGACAGCCTTTTACCTTGGTTTTGTCCAGATTCCAGAGAGAATTGAAAATCTTGTGGAGGTCGCTGGTGTTTTTTTGGATGTGTTTAATGTATCTGTCCCACTGCCTGCTCAGTTCCTCCTGGGAAAATGCCTGCGGGCAACAAAAATCCACACTGCTGTCACTGCACAGGCTTTACCACAACCAGGGTGGTCAGATGAGATCAATTTGGGACAGCACCTACAAGTGACTGCGGGGAAAATAACAGAAATTTGACGAGGAGGATTGTAAACACTCTCCAGTGACCTGCAGCTGAGGTATCAAAGCCCCACATATATCATACTAATTGCTGTTTCGTGTTGGGTGCTTGAGGAGTAGAACATCTGCGTTTAGAAAACACAGGGCTGTGATAGACTCAGAGGCACCTTATTGAACATGCTGGAGATTCCTGCCCTGCTGGGGGGAAGATCAAAGCCCAGTGGTGAGCTCCACCTGCGTGAATCCCTGATACACAGGCGAGAACAGCAGGTTCAGTCACTCAGTCACGAGGACTGAGCTCCACGGTGCCTTCAGAGATCCCCCAATTAGTGAGATTAAATTCACTCCTCGCATTTCATCCCTGGTTTTGTGGTTGATTCCGTGTGCTGCCTGTGATGGCTCACACAGTGAGAGATCTCATGATCTCAAGGAGGAAGATGAGGCAGAGGGCCATGAAAATGATCAGAGGGCTGGAGCACCTGAGGACAGGCTGAGAGAGCTGGGGGTGTTCAGCCTGGAGAAGAGAAGGCTCCAGGGAGACTTTATAACAGCCTCAAGAAGGCTCCGGGGAGACCTTATAACAGCCTCATAGTACCTGAAGGGGACTCCAGGAGAGCTGGGGAGGGACTCTTTATCAAGGAGTGGAGTGACAGGAGAAAGGGTAATGGTTTTAAACTGAAAGAGGGGAGATTGAGATGAGATCTCAGGAAGAAATTCTTCACTCTGAGGGTGGTGAGAGCCTGGCCCAGGTTGCCCAGAGAAGCTGTGGCTGCCCCATCCCTGGAGGGGTTCAAGGCCAGGCTGGATGTGGCCTTGAGCAACCTGCTCTGGTGGGAGGTGTCCCTGCCCAGGGCAGGGGGGTGGAACTCCATGGTCTTTAAGGTCCCTTCCAACCCAAACCATTCTCTGATTCTATGACACCAAGGGCAAACTTTCAGTAGACACTCCCACCACCTCAGTGCAACAGCAGGACGGGCCTGTAGGCTTTTCCAGGTCCCAATTCTTTGATCTACGAGCTTGTTCTGACCCTTGTGAGCAGAAAGACAACACAAGGGAGCGTGCCAGCACGTATGTGCCTGGGCAGAGCTCGGCCAATATGGGAAGTGTTTAAAAATCTCCTAGACAGAAACATCACGGCCGCTGATCTTTAATTACCGTGTAGGCGAGGTGCACAGGTCCGTTGTAGAAGGTGAAGAGGCTGATGAGCTGCTCCAGAAACCGCCTACAGCTGACATCAGGGAGCTCAACAGCACAGCCCAGAACCTTTAACACACAGAAAGCCACAGAGGAGGAATGTTTACTGACAAAATCCAGGCACTGCAGACGAGAACAACTCTCTATCGCTGTCAAAATGAGTATCAAAGGAGCACAGGCAGCTCTGTGGCAGGGAAACAGCCCTCGGATTCACAAGTCAGATGAAAAGGAAATTCAAAAATACCCACAGAAGAGCCCAGGCACCGACAGGATAAATAAATGATATCAGAATTCCAGTGTTTTAGACACACTCCCACGTCAGATGACCTAGCTGGGTGCTCTAATAGCTACAAACATTCTCCTGGAACTAAGCAGTTAGAAATATTCGTATTAACTTGTTATTTACAGAGATGGAGATGCTTCGTTTAGGTTTGGAGCTGCCAAGAGGACAGAAGAGAGAGCCCAGTGAGCCCGAACAGCGCTGCCAATTAAACAGGCCTGACTGGTCTCAGCCCAGTTTCCAGGGGATGGTTTGGGGTGGTTTTGTCCCGATTCTGCCGCACGCTGCTCTTTAGAAACTACGTGTCTGTTGATGCTGACAAAGCTCTACAGGAGGGAATACCAGGGGGTTAGAAGGAAAGAACAACCAGAATATCAAACAGGGAGGCTGAATCCTTTATAAACTGCAGTTTCCAGTCCAGTAACCCCTGGATACACACAACGATGCAGAGCTCAGCCTCTCCCAGCCATTGCCAGGCACATCTTAAGCAAAGCCCTTGGGTTGGGACACACAGAGGAGGCAGATGAAGCCTTTCCCAGAACAGCTGAAGGCTGCAGCCTGCCACAAACACAAATTTTATGTTACCTTGCAATGAAAAGCTGTGCATTGCAAGTTCCCACCCTAGCTCTCCCCACGTCTAGCTGTGTGCAGCCCAGCCCTGAAAAAAAAAAAACAAAAAAAGAAATAAAAAAAGCCCTCTTTGTTATAGTAGCTCAGAATCCCGCTGGTTTTGCCCCGTGACTGCCTCCAGATCTCTCCAACTCACCCACAGATAGTCTCTGTCCACTACAACAGCAAACTTGAGCTTCCTCAGGCGAATGAGACTTGGAGGAGCTCCAGAGATCTCCGTCAGGCAGTGCACCACCCCGGCGAGCTGTCCACACAGCAGCTCCTGCTGGTCGGGGAGAGTCTGTCGAGGAAGGCAGGGAAGAAAGACCTTTTATTTATTTTTTTTTTTCCTTTTAAAAGGACTTGGGAAAAAAAAATACATCACTGCTGTTTTCAGGTATAAATAAAAATTGACTATAAGTTCAATTCACTTATAAATCAAATGCAGTAGCAGAGGAAGACTTCTGGGGAAAAAATAATCGGACTGTTTTTTTTTTCAGGCAGCACAAGGGCACTTCCATCCCTCCTGGGTATTTATTCTCATCACCAGAAGAGATCTGGATTCTCCTGGACGACTCCACCGAGCAGAACCCACACTGAGGGGGCAGATCCAGCACCCCATGCCCAGCCTCAGAAGCCCAAAGACCCCCGTGGAGCAGCCCCCCGTTCCACCTGGTGGTTCCAGGCACGTGAGTTTTCTTAAAACCTCCGTGAATCCTCGGTAAGAAGGAATCCAAAGCTCCACCAAGAAGCCTGACCCCTCCTCAACTGGAATGATCAGCCCTGCCCCACAACACGGGCACCGAAATAAAAGCAGGTGTTACCTGAGATGGGTAGAAATAACAAATTCCAGCACTTGTAGGGTCTCCTTCTTCCTTCACCTTCGAACCGTCGTAAAGGAAAAAGTAATTCCACCTAAAAAAACCCAAAGCATTAGCAGAAACCATCGTGTATTTGGAAACTGTTACAGGCATGGTTCTATGACTCTCCTTGTCCTCTCTGTTATTTCAGGCAGAGCAACGAACAGACGGTTACAGATGGAGAGGGATGTGGTTCTTACACAATCACACCCAGTTTAGACACGAAGGAGGCACTAAAAGGGTCTCATGGTGTGAAATTTGACCACTTTTCTGGGTTTAAGACGGATTCTACAGCTCAGCAGCGAAGATATGAGGAAGATCTGGACCTCTGGGATATCATCCTGTCCGCACGTACCCACACACACCCAGAACAATTACCATTAACCACACACAGTCCAAAGGGATCCCGCAGCCTATTGCTATTAATTCACCGCTTTTAATTGACGACAGGCCCCGGGGGGGTGGCCCGGTTGGAGGTTTCTGGCCTGCGCCGTGACGTTATTCCCCTCATAATTCCAAGAATACACATATTTAATAACAGTTTTCCCACTCGTAGCTCCTCACGAGCTTCGCTGAGGCCACCAGTGACAGCCCGCGGCCCCAGCCGAGCGGGGGCCATCCCGGTGTCTCCTCCACACCGACGACCCGGCGGTGAAAGGGGGGGGTACGGACCGGGAGAGCCCCGAAACCACCGGCGGGGGAGGAGAGGGGGGAGGAGAGAGGGGAGAAGAGCGGGGGAAGGGGCTCACCATGGTGCCGAGCCGGGCTCCGGCGCGGCGGGGGGGGCCATGGGCACCGGGCTACCGGGCTAGTCCGTCCCTCCGGCAAGACCCCGCCGCCACCGGGGCTGAGAGGCTCCACTCTCCCGCCGCCGCCACAGCCACTTCCGGGTAGGCGGCGGTCCGCCGGTCCCGTGACCGCGCCACGTGACCGCTCCACGTGACCTCCCGGCGCACATGGCGGCGGAGGGCGGGTGGCGCCCGGCGGGAGGGCGGAGGAGGCGGCGGCGGGCCCGGGAAGAGGAGGAGGAAGGCGGTGCGGTGCTGCGGAGGTTGCGGGAAGCGCGGTGAGGCCCCAATCCGTGTGTCCCCCGCCGTGTGTCCCCGCCGGGGCCCCGCTGACGCTGCGCTCTCCCCGCAGGAACGATCTGCTGAGCTCCGGTTTCTGGGCGGCGAGCGCCGGTGCGTGCCTGGGGGGGGGGGAAACACACACTGGGAGGGATAATGGGCTGTTCCCCTTCCCCCGCTGGGTCTGACGCCTCTCTCCGTGCCCGTAGGAGCCGTGCGGGCCCCGCTGGGCGCCACCGCCGAGCCGCCCGCCCGCTGCGTCTGCTACGGGCTGGGGCGGTTCAGCTGCTGCCCCGCCGCCCGGCACCAGTTGGCCTTCCTGCTGCTGCTGCTGGAGGAGCTGGGGGTGAGGAGGGGATGCGGGGGGGAACTGGAGAGTTGGGGGGAACCGAAATGGAGGGAGGGAAAGCCGGGGAGACCCCGGTCCCCGCCCTACTGCCGCCCCTCTCCCCGTAGGTGCCGCCGGGGCGATGCTCCGTCTTCGACCCCGCGTTCTCCCCCCAAGAAGCGGCGGCGCTGGTGGAGCTGGGGCTGCGGCTGCTCCCGGACAACGAGGTGAGCTGGGACCGTGGGGGTGGACCCCCCCACCCCTCTGCTGAGGGGGTTACCGGGGCGAGATCAAGCCAGGAACCGAGGCGGGGAGTCACTGCCTGGTGGCCGGTGCCGGTCGGTAACGGGCAGGGTTGGTTTCCCCCCAGGAAGGGAAACACGGGATTGAGGGCTCGGCCACGCTGTTCTACATGGTGCACTGCGGGAAAGCCCTGTACAACAACCTCCTGTGGAGGAACTGGTCCCCGGGGGCACTCTCCAAAATGGTCATCGTCGGGAACAGCTTTAAAGGGATCGAGGAAAGGTGGGTGCAGCCCCCCCCTTGGAGAAAAGTTCTGGTGTCTCCAACGGCCTCATCCTCTCCTTGATTCCTTTACTCCCTCTGACAGTGATTGCCGTGTTTTGCTCATTTTCAACTCACAGTTGTAGTCATCAGCCATCTGTCCCACCCCCTCCCCCCCACCTTGGGAAGAGTTTGCTTCGTTTCACTCGAGCCTCGTTAACGCTGGTTTTCTTGTGTCATCCCAGGTTATTGTCAAGAATATTGGAGAGAGATTATTCTTACATAGCAAAGGTACCAACCACTACTTTTTTTTAACCTTATTGTGTCTGTGTTGACAAAGCACCTCTTAAGGAGAAAGGAAATTAATTGCAGTTGGAAAGAAGAGGGTGGGTACTTCTAAAACCTTTTTTTTTTTTCCTGGCTGTTACAATGTAAAACTGAATCACTTTGGGGTCACAGAATCACATGGGGTTGGAAGGGACCTCTGGAGATTATCTAGTCCAACCCCCTGCCAGAGCAGGTCCACCCAGAGCAGGTTGCACAGGAACGTGTCCAGGTGGGGTTTGAATGTCTCCAGAGAAGGAGACTCCACCACCTCCCTGGGCAGCCTCTGCCAGGGCTCTGCCACCCTCAAAGTGAAGAAGTTCCTCCTCATGTTTAGGTGGAACTTCTTATGTTCAAGGTTGTGCCCGTTTCCTCTTGTCCCTTTCTCATTCTACACAGTGCACACAGGGGTTGAGGTTCACATAACACCATCCTCATCTTCACAAGCTCTCATCTGAACTTCACAAAAAGGTTCTTCTGCATCATACATAACATTTTTCCCCCCAAACGCTCTTTAGGTCTTGAAAGGGACAGAGGAGGTGGCTCTCCCGGCCCACCCTCAGTACCTCGACACCTTTAACGACACCTCCATCCACTGGTTTCCCCTGCCAAAACTGAAGGAGCTCTCCCCTGAGGTGTGGGACTGCGGGGAGGAGCCCACCTACCAGGACTGTGAGATCATCAGGAAGGGGGAAGGGGCTGAGCAGCACGGCCCCGCTGCCGCCGAGTCCTGACCCCTCCATCTCTGAGCAGCTTCTGCTCAGCCAAGATCAAACCCAGTGTCATCATGCTCTGCTAAAAGTGGCAGCACCTACCCACTGAGCAGGATGGGACATTTTTGTATTTTAATTATTTAATAAAAGGTAAAACTGTGCTTGACTTACACTCATTTAACTACAGTGAACAAATTTAACTGAAACCTGCCTTTTAAGCCGTGTGATGGCTCTTCTGATCCCCTTTCCCTTTTGTGAACAACTGGAAGTCTTGGGTGTATTTTGAAGCATCAGGGAGGGGGAATTCTTTGAGAGGGGGTTGTAGTTAAAGGCAGTGGTGGCTGGTTCCAACTGCAGGCTCAGAAAAGCTCTCTCACTTCAGCTGCTGGGTGCTACTGAAGTCAGCTCTTTAGCTGCTCTGCTGTGAAAAATCAGGTCATCTCCTTCTAGGAGGAAAAAAAGCCTCTGTTTCCCTCCTTCAGCTCTTGTGCCCTGAACTGTGGTCACACAACACACATTCAATGAATCTGCTGGGACAAATTTCCCCCCTTCCAGCTCTGCACTGACAGGGCAGAGAAGGCACAGGGAGGGGCTGATGGCCCATGGGCCAGCACGATGCTGAAGAGCAGTGGGACAAGTCCTGGCTGTGAGCAGGGACGTTGTCAGGACAGTAACCCTTGCTTACAGCAGATGAGGAGAAGCTGGGACATCCCTCTGTCACTGGAGACCTTCAGGACTCAGCCAGACCAGCCCTCTCTCATCTGTTGGGACAGAGAATCACCTCCTGTGGTCCTTCTAACCTGCTGAGAAACCTCTGTCACAGCTGGCACTGACAACAACCATCACAACTGCTTGTTCCTCCCTTAGCACCGACTTTCCAGGTGTAGTTTCATCTCTTGACACTGCCTGAAGTGACAAGCAGCTGAGTATGAGCCAGCAGTGTGCCCAGGTGGCCAAGAAAGCCAACAGCATTCTGGCTTGTATTAGAAATACCATGACCAGCAGAAGCAGGGAGGTGATTGCCCCCCTGTACTCAGCACTGGTGAGGCCACACCTGGAGTGTTGTGTCCAGTTCTGGGCACCTCAATACAAGAGAGATCTGGAGGTGCTGGAGCGAGTGCAACAAAACTAGTGAAGGGCCTGGAAGACAAATCATATGAAGAGCAGCTGAAGGAGCTGGGACTGTTTAGTTTGAGGAAGAGGAGGCTGAGGGGAGACCTCATCACTCTCTACAACTACTTGAAAGGACACTGTAGAGAGGTTGGTGCTGGTCTCTTCTCACAGGTAATTAATGACAGAACAAGAGGGAACGGCTTCAAGCTCCAACAGGGGAGGTTTAGACTGAACATTAGGAAGGAATTTTTCACTGAAAGAGTGGTCGGGCATTGGAACAGGCTGCCCAGGGAGGGGGTTGAGTCACCATCCCTGGATGTGTTTAAGGGACATTTAGATGGGGTACTGAGGGATATGGTGTAGGGGAGGACTTTGTAGAGTAGGGGAGATGGTTGGACTCGATGATCCCAAGGGTCTCTTCCAACCTCAATGATTCTATGAACAGCTCTTCTAAGCAAAAAAAAATCCTGGCATACAGCATGAGTTTCACTCCTATTTACAAATCTGTAGCTTCTTTATTCTAAATTACACTAAAAATGTTAGCAAGGTGCTCTTCACAGTCCGAAGTGGGGGGAGGCCTCACTTTGCCATGTCAATGAGGCTCTGGAGGGAGGTGGGCACCCAAGTCTTTTCTCCTTGTACGAACACGACGCCTCGGTCGATGTAAATGACGATGCGGCCGAAGGTGTAGAGCTGCTTCCCTTCGTGCCGCTTCCCGATCACGGGCATGAACACGATGTTGTGCTCCTCAGCTTTGGTCTGAATCAAGTCCTTGAAGTTCATGGGCACGGAGCTGGCGGCCATGCCGATGCCGCGCTGCGCCATGTTCTCCGCCTCCCGCCGCTCCTGCATGGCCTCGTACTGGAAATCCTTCCTCCGCTCCGTGTGCGTGAGGTACGCGATGTTCTCCCGGGCACCTGGCTGCATGTACCCGCCTGTTTGGGGAGACAAAACCACATGAAAACAAGGTGCCAACCCACTCCTAGCACTGCAGTCCAGGACACAATCAATAATTCTCTGAATCACAGAATCTTCTAGGTTGGAAGGGACCTTCAAGAGCATCTTGTCCAACCGTCAACCTGACTGACAAAAATAGACACCCACACAACAAACAAGGAGCATCATCACTAAACCATCCCTCCCAGCACTACATCAACCCGTCTTTTGAACACCTCCAGGGATGGGGCCTCAACCACCTCCCTGGGCAGCCCATTCCAATGGCTGAGAACCCTTTCGGTGAAAAGCATCAACTTTGCCAAACAGCATCAGCTAAGTGAACTGCAGCAGAAGCAAGAGGAATGGGTATGTTCCCAGATTGTATCTGTGCACACAGAGAGGAGGATCGTGCACTGCTACAGGGCCAATGGCTGAGAACCCTTTCAGTGAAAAGCATCAACTAAGTGAACTGCAGCAGAAGCAACAGGAATGGGTATGTTCCCAGATTGGATCTGTGCATACACACAGAGAGGAGGATGGTGCACTGCTACAGGGTGGAATGATACGGGGTTGGAAATGACCTCTGGAGATCATCTAGGCCAACCCCCTGCCAGAGCAGGTCCACCCAGAGCAGGTCCCACAGGAACGTGTCCAGGTGGGTTTGAATGTCTCCAGAGATGGAGACTCCACCACCTCTCTGGGCAGCCTCTGCCAGGGCTCTGCCACCCTCAAAATCAAGAAGTTCCTCCTCATGTTTAGATGGAACTTCTTACATTCCAGTTTGTGCCCATTTCCTCTTGTCCTGTCACTGGGCACCACTGAAAAAGAACTGGCCCCATCCTCCTGACACCCACCCTTCCAGTATTTATAGGCGTTGATCAGATCCCCTCTCAGTCTTCTCTTCTCCAGACTAAAAAGACCCAAGTCCCTCAGCCTTTCCTCATAAGAGAGATGCTCCAGGCCCCTCATCATCTCTGTAGCCTCTGCTGTCCCCTCTCCAGCAGTTCCCTGTCCTCCTTGAACTGGGGAGCCCAGAACTGGTCCCAGTGCTCCAGATGGGGCCTCACCATGGCAGAGCAGAGGGGGAGGATGACCTCCTTCAACTGGTCACACTCTTCCTGATGCACCCCAGGATGCTACTGGCCTTCTTGGCTACAAGGGCACATTGCTGGCATCCTCTATGTTTCTTTTCCCCTCCTTTTCTCCCTACACTTTGGGGAGGGGCAGGATGGGGGGAGAACTGAGCGAGTGACTGCGTGGTCCTTGCTGCCACCTGGGGTTAAACCACAGCACTCACTGACTGAGAGAAAATACACTCTCAGCAGGCAAGGCTGAAAGAGAATCGGTTGCTTAATGGCACAGGCAGTCACCAAGAATCTGTTTCTGCTTCAGTGGAGCACAGAAATTAATGAGGATCTTCCAGGTGTTATTTATGGACACGGCAGGGTGAAGCACTCTTTGAATTTCACTGCTCATGGGAGATGCTACACCAATCAGCAGGGCCACACCTAAACACAGGCTCCCAAAAACCAAGCACTGCTTTTCTACCATCACCACAAGCCACCTACCAACGCTGGAAGAGACAGCCCGGTTCATGATATCGAGAGCTTCATTAAATTTGTCTTTGATGGATGGATGAGCCAACACTTGGTCCGAGAACATGGATTTCCAACCCAAGTACCACTTGGTAATCTCTTCGTAATTGGGGCTGTTACTAAGCCAAGAGCACAGCACCTGCAAAACAACACAAGGCAGTAGGATAGATAAATTTATGGAGGAGAATCCTCATTATCACTTAGTTTATTACAGAACTTTCAATTAAAGAAAGGACTGTGACAGTCTTAAGAAATAGTCTGTTCTGAGGTGTATGGAGCTATGAGTGGAAATCACCCCATTAAATGGTAGTTAAACCATTTCAGCACTGGGGCAGCAATTTCTAGGTAAAAGTTACTGAAACACTTCCCAGTGAATTGAGCCTCTTTACTCAGCCTTGACAGTTTCTCACCTGCAGCCACTTTGGGAAGAAGTGTTTCTCCAGCAGCCCAACAAGACTGGAGACAGAAATCATCCCTTCCCAGTCAATCACCCAGTAGAAGGCATCCATGTGCTGCTGGTGAGGGTTTATGATGAGTTCGTTCAAACACATCCCTGGAAAAGGGGGGAGAAGAGTCAGAAAAAAACTTGACTCACGATTTTATCAGTGCCCTGACCTATTTCACTGGCAAAACACATGATTTGAGGAGCACTTGCATTGCAAATTACCCTGCATAAGGGCCATTCAGGATGTTTAAACCGTTTGGCTGATCCCTGCCACCAAAACAATGCGCTTCCATTTCCAGTGACTACAATTTGCTGCTAAAACTGAGAAACTTAAATTTGGCTTTATTTTTTTTTTTTTAGACTACAGAGCCTTTTAGCCAGCTTGCACAGCTGAATGGAGAATTACAAAATCTCATTAGCACAGCTCAAAGAATGCAGGGGTAACAGAGAGACATTTTACAGCTTGGAGCTATCTGACAGCTATCAGATATTCCTGTCAGCTCAAGAACAAAAGAATCAAGTGATTTAAAAAAATAGGATAGAAAACATTGAGAATAATCAGAGCATTTCCCTGTATTTTCCAGAATATACATGGTACTAATAGCAGAAAAACCTTGGTCTAAACTTAGTAATAATATTCTTTAAAGTAACACTGGGAATTATGCTCACATCTATCTTTTCTAGGCGTAAGGGAGAAGGTGGCAACCAGCAGACTCCAGAAATTCAGCACTCCCTCACCTAATTTAGGCACGATGTTTTTGACCATGAAAGCCTCCCAGGACCCAGGTGTGAAGACATCTTTCCAGGGCTGGAGGATAAGTTTGGCAGAGGAGTCACTGGGATGCCACTTCTGCAGCGCGTTGGCCAGCTTGTTGCGGATGGGAGAATAGAGCGGCTCCAGCCGCGCCTGCATCAGGGGCAGCCAGGGATGGATCCACGAGTGGATTGGGACCGTGTCTGTCAAAGGATTCCAGCTTTCCACCTTGAGGTAAAACAGAAAAAGATTAAAATAAGTCCAGGAAGTCTTGCTAGATACAAAAAAGAGCCAGAATCATAGCATTGTTTAGGTTGG